TAGGGCGGGTTGTGATTTGATTTATAACATGCTGGGGGTAGTTATACAATGTTTTGCAGACAGTTTTATAAAATTTTGCCAGACCCATCCATGAGCTAATAAATGAAAGCCCCCCTTAATGAAATCCCTAAAACACTTCAACAACTGTTGCTATAGCATTTCATTTCAATTTCCTGTCCCATGCAGAATTTATTCCACTTACCACTGGCGTCAGTATTTGTTCTGGTGCTTCCTTGSTGAATGCCTTATAAAGCGTCATAATCAGTACCACTACTGACGCAAACATCATAAACACACCCACCCATACGCCCAGTGTCAACCATATATGGAGAAAGAATGGGCTATATCGTCCTATCTTGATAAACGCACGATTATATCGTGTTGTATACCAGCGAATTTGAAATGTTGACAGAGAGACCCCATTGTCCTCTAAGAACTGTTTGTATCTGCGCGAGTATCGTCTGTAATTCTGAAGTTAGAGAAAAAGTAGTGATTATAAATAAAGATTGTATTTTGAATAATATTTTCTTGGTTCATGTATTAGTTTAAAATAAATGGCTATAAAAAATGGGCGAGTTTTCCAGGACAAATTTAACAAATCAATGTTGTTATTAACATTGATGTCTGCTTTGGTTTGCAACAATACTGTAGTTTTGAATTCTTTTTCAGTGCAASCTTAGCTCAATCAAGATTAAYTTGTATTGTYTTCTTTGTACACAGAGTGTTTGCATTACAATAGWWTCTCTGCTGAATKAAAGAATATATTACATRCTTTCGAGGTTAAACYTGCACAAAAGTAAGATCTCCAAACTTGAGTATTCGTAATATTATAACATGTGAATAAGATTGTATAAAGCACTGACCTTAAGCACAGCGTTCACAATAAATACAATTGTCCAAAACAATATCACAACATAAACACTTGAAGATCTCAGCATCTCTTTGTCTTCTTTATGACTTCTGGTGTAGTCAGCTGATTTTTATTGTTTACAAAACTATCGCAAGGGTCTAGTCATCCAATTGTAAGTTATGCTACAAGAACCCATACTCTGAAAAGTAATGAACGAACATGCTTCGAATAAAGACACGATGATATGATGAAATTAGGAATTTCATTCAGTTGAGGCGATGTTCGAAACAAAAGCTTTCCAAATCCATGTSGGAAGAATTCTGGATAAAAAGATTGATATTTCACCAAAATAGCAGTAAAGTTCGTGAACCAAGCGTCAGATTCATCGCCATGTGTTTGGAGAATAATGTTTATCCATCCTTTTGAAGCCTTGAAGTTAAGAAAGTGGCAATAATTAAGGACTTCTCGRGTCAATGAAAGAAGTTCATGCAATCACGGAATCCATTTTTAAAATMACTCGGAATGAGAAGACTGGTGACTAGTTTCTAGTCCCTATGCATTTTCGTCATGATTGCGTTGAAAACAAAACTGAAAGCAAAAATTCCAAGATATTTACAACTAAATTGAGCTTAATTTCATTGAGGTAAGAATATTCTATATAGTATTTAGTAGACTAATGCAGCTTGATTGTTAGTGCCTGCAGTTGGCAAATGATTTCAAGTTGTAGCTCTATCACATGATCAACTTCCGCGTCCAAATTTCAAAAATGTTCCGCCAGTGCATTCTACCTGGTCTCAAAACAAAGCCAAGAAAGCAGTCTGACTGCATATTCAAACCGTGCAAAGCACTTCGATGTAAGAATTATCTCRGCCCTTTTCTTATTCAAACCTTTTCTTAGTCAGATTTGATATGAGGCGCTATAAGAGTTTACATTTATCAACTTAAGCTTGAGTTTTCGAGGAATTTTATGTGTCATCAAAATGCTGAGACATTATGTTCTGCTTAAAGAACAGTTTCAATATGTATCATGCTTGTCAGCTCATGCAGGTATTTTTTAGTGATTAGGATCGAGTTCCATATTTCTTGAGAGTTATGCAGATTTAAGTTTTTAAACGTATGGTTGCATTTATTAACTCACTGTACTTGTCTAGTAGTAAATAACTTACTGCAAGGCTGCTTTTGTCTAACTAGCTAAGGACAGTTGTTCAAAGGGTAAAGTTATCCACCAGATAAAGTGTCAACYGCTCCAGAGATTTGCTTGGATTTTATCTGTTGGATAAATTTGGGATTTATTAGGTGGACAGCGCTTTTTTCACACCCTTCCAAACAACCAGCCCTTGATGTTGAATTTCATTATCATGGTTGGGTTCTTTTTCTTTGCATTCTTATCATCAAAGRATTTAGGAGCACACTTTGCTGTAAGCGTTTAATTGTTATGTCTTGTTTTCTCCTCAGAAAATCTCTACCAGCAAGATGAGCAGAATTGCTRATCAGAATTGCTGTCAAGACATTGAGTGTACAAACCTCAGGGTTTTCTTAGGTGATGGCAGTGAAGACATGTTGTATACTGGACAGATACTTCTCCATTGTACCATCCAGCAAGCAAACTTTTCTCCATCTAAAGGTACAGTGGTTGGACTTTCTATATACAGTTGACTCTCTTTGAACGGCAACACTCTCGTAAGCGACCATCTCCCGTAAGCAACCACTTTTTCCTGATCCTGAGGTGGTCGCTTACTAGAGAGTTGACTGTACTGATTAAAACAGGAAACAAATAATATGAAATTCTGACCTTTTAAGAAAGAAGATCAGACTGTGCTTTTTTCATGGGCTCAACTCTCAAAGCCTTTAAGTACATAAATTGTTTTTTGTTGTTGTTTTTTTTTTCAAGTTTTAAGTGCTTGCYAGTCTTTCATTTTGTTTTGGGTTGTTGATTTCATTTGTTTGGTGCTGCTATTTATTGGGATTTCCTTCTTTGACCTCATTCCAACGTCAGGGCCAGTTAGTAAGAATTTTTTGTCGCGCCCTAAGTGAAACCAAAACTCTTATTCAAACCTGGCGCTAAATCTTAGACAGGATTCTGTTATAATAATAAGATCTTGTTGGAATTATATTAGGAAGTACCTGACACATACTTGACCAATTAAATAAATGATAATTAATATGTATTTTATTTATTCATGAATATAAGGAAAAAGGAATGAGCCAACATTTAGGTTTGGTGATATTCGTAGACGTCGTTGGGCTAGGCCACATTCAAAATCATGTGCATCCTCAAGAAAAAGCACAACAAATGACAGTAGTAAGGATTTAAAATCAATGGGAACAGCTGCCTCTTCATCAAATAATACTCCTCAAACCACTCAGAAAAAACAGAATACACTATTGGACACTAACCAAAAAGTTATTTATCRTAATGATGATAAACAGTTGAAGGGGGTTGATGGCAGTAACACCAAGAAGGGAAGAGAAGAAAAACCTTCACTTAAAGACAATCCTTCAGGGGAAATCAAAGATAACAAAAGTGGTGTTAATGAGGGGAAAAATTATGCAGGTACATTTAAGGCAAATGTAGTTGTACTTTCATGTTCAACCAAAATCTAAATTTACCATGCAATGKTTGGGCTGCCTGTGATTCAATTAACTAAACTTCAGATTTAGCATGCAAGGGGTGGGCTGCCTGTGTCAGTCATTCAAATTCAACATACWTTGTGCAATAGAAAATAATCATATCATATACATTGATTGGACAAGTGGATGGTCAAGGGCTTCCTGTCTTTTTGCTGACAGAAGAGGGAGATTTGGAGCGCAAGAGGGGCAGGCGCGTGATGACAACTCCTCTTCTATTTCACCAGACCCTATCGGTCAATATGAACAGATAGGAAGCCCGATAGAGCATAAAAGAGTTCCTGGGGAAGAGGAATAGGGCAGATTCACGTTTTTGTGGAGGTGTAAAGAGAAGGACCMCAAGCACAAAATAGAAAAAAACGAAAAATACGTTTTGATTTAAAATTTTGAATTTAATTTTATATCTTATATTTAAACCAGGGTCTTCCAAAGAAGATAAAGACACCATTGAAAATAGTGCCTCACATGTCAAAGACCACAAGAAATCAAAGGAAAATAAAATTAATGAAAAGATTCCAGACTGTMYTTCAGCTTTTTCTCATTCTGAAAAGACAACCAAGAATCATAGACTGTCACCAAGGAAAGATAAAAAAGTTGAATCCGGCGAGTCAACAGGCAGCCCAACCATTTCAACGGATATTTTGCACGTCAACTCGGGTGAGGCCGATAATGCCATTGCAGTTGAAAGGCATTCTGGTATTTATGGAATATATGATGATGATGATGTTGTTTCAATGGACAAATCAACCAAAAGTCCAACTAAACGGACAATGAAAACATATGATAAACGGAAAGAAGCTGAAATACGCAGAACTTTGCTCAGTGCTCACAGCTCCTGCTATGAAATCCAGAGATTTCTCATTCRATTACTTCTTGACAAGTTGAAAGGCTTTGGAGCCCATCCAAATGATGATCACACTWTAAAAGAACTAGATGTTGACGATCTTGACTCGTTGGTGTTTCTTCTCCAGAGTTTTCTAAAGTGTTTTGATATACAAGTTGGGTTAAACCATAGTTTGGGTGTGCTAGTAGGTGGTGATGAGGGATATGAAGAAAGCGAAGGTAATTGTCTAGTTCGTTTAATAAATTAATAATTCTGAACACAAGTAACGCAGGCTCAAGTTCACAGGAAAGTGACTTGCAAAGTGAGTGAGTGACAGATTTGTTCCCCTCGAATACCTCTATGATTGCTTCGCAATCTTCGAGTTAAAAATGACCTCAAAAACGTATGTTTTTTATTCGTCTATTTATTAATGTATTCGTGTACACGATCAATCTTCGAGTTTTGTTTCCATTGGCAACTTGATTTTTCAAACTTAGAACGCAACAAGAGACTCTTTTTTAGAATACATGACGTTAATATTGCCGTAAAAACAAGTAAAAAATAGAAACGTATATGAACACGGCGTGACAGTCCTACATAAAAACCATTCTCGTACCCAGACCCTTCTCAGCTTCCCAACGGAAAATCGTAGGTTTCCGTTGGGAAGCTGAGAAGGGTCTGGGTACGAGAATGCATAAAAACATAGACGCTTCTAGTAATGGACTTTTTAACTAAAAATATTGTTCAATCTTAGGCTTCAATGTAACTGACAAAGAAGACAAAGATGAACTATTGGTAGAGTGTCGATCACTTATGAATCACACATCGTTTTCCAAARCGCTTGTCTGCACACATCTATCAAATCCATATTCGCCTGACCTACGCTATTCTTGTGGAGAAGACCGTGTATTCTGCGCTGCCAATCAGAATTTCTGTATCTACCTTCCCCACGGAGAAGGGAAACTTGAAAGCCTCTCGGGAAAACTAATATACCAGGGACAATGGAAAAATGGTAAGTTATCTTAATCGTAGACATCATTATTATATATGAGGGGAGGGGAGATTCCTTTGCACGGCCAATCGGAATTTCTGTATCTACTTCCCCGCGGAGAAGGCAAACTTGAGAGCCAGCCTATTTAATGTTATTGTTATAGTGGCATACCTTGTTATTCCATGTGGGAGGAGAGGGAGGGGAGCTTCTTTAAGGATCAACACAAGGTATTTATGGTGTTCCTTATATACCTGCCCTAGTGTACTCAAAGATGTGATGATTTTTCATCGAATGCTTGACGACAAAAGGAACTTTTTCAAAAAATAAAGATCCAGATACGTGTGAATGGCTACCGCGATTTTGTGAACCCAAT